TATATATATATATATATATATATATAGCTAACAAAGTAACTTGGAAATGTAATGTAATTGCAAATGTAAATATTTAAGCCAAGCAGTCTGTTGATAAACATATCACATTTTAAAGCCCTTACAATGTTCAACTGTAATGTTTTCAATCTTCAAATGAGCTGAAATGTGGCCAATATTTGTATTGAATGCATACACTAAAACATTGGGTACAGAAAAGATTTTTTACTCAGAAATGCAGTGTATGCAATCGATAAAATAGCAGCGTGTATTTTAACTCATTTGAAAAATTTAAATGTTATATTTCAACGTTATAAAGGCTTTAAAATGTGGATTTTTTTCTCAACAGACCGCTTGCACTGTGCATTGTTGTTGTATGCAAAAGAGACAAATCAATGTGGCATGTTATCTAGCAAGCACTGAACCATATGTAAAACAACACCACTCTGTGTGTGTCATATGGTTGGTTTGTTTGCTTTCAGGGCGGTCACTAGACCACTATTAGTAGCATATGTTTGCAGTTTTCCAGCCATCTGTGTGTGCGTATCTCACCAGCGCGGTCGGCCTTGAGGCTGTCCCACACATTGCAGTTGAAGTCATCGTAGCCGGCGAGCAACAGGCGGCCGCTCTTCGAGAAGGCCACGGAGGTTATGCCGCAGATGATGTTGTCGTGAGAGTAAACCATGAGCTCCTGGTCGGCACGCAGGTCAAAGAGCCGGCAGGTGGCATCGTCAGAGCCAGTCGCAAACGCGTTTCCATTGGGGAAGAACTGCAGGGGGAATATGAGCTCTTTCTAGTTTCAATACTTCAAGAAATTACATGCACTAGAGCGCCTATTCCTAAGAATACATTGTTTAGTTTTAATCTGTACTGTGCTAGGAATACTCACACAGATGGCGTTGATGTCCGACTCATGGCCAGTGAAGGTCTGTCTGCACATGCCCTCACGGACGTCCCAGAGTTTGGCGGAGGCATCACAGGCTCCTGACACAAACAGCCTGGTGTCTGGAGCCAGAGACAGACTCATCACGTCACCGGTGTGACCCGCGAACGTGGTCGTCTGCTGACCGGTCTCTATGTCCCAGAGAGCACTGCGGGACAGATCACAACATTCAGATGCTTCAAAACACATACACATAATTGAGAAATCAAAATGCCTGTAGAAATGAACTGCAACATTTCTCAGAGCTGGAAAATCTGATCAGGTCTACATTTATAAGAAAAATAAATAATACAAATAATTAAATATCTAAAAATAAATATTATAGGTTGTATGCTAAATCTGCTTATTCTTGTGTCTCTTATTACATAATTTTTTTAATGGTAAATTTTCACAATAAGTCTCATTTGATAAACAAAGTAACAATGTATTTTCAAATGTAATAATTTTAGACAATATCAGTTAATAAAAATACAAGCCTTCATTGTTTGCTCATGTTCACATGGCATTAATGTTAACAAATATATTTTTGTATTTGTATTTAAAAATGTATTAGTAAATGTTGAAATTAACAAATTAACTTAAAATAAAACAAAAATAAGAAATAGACATAAGATTTAGCCTACAACCTTAATGTTAGCTTGCAGTTAATGATATACATATATTTCCCATAATTTAAAATTATTTTTTCTTAAGCACAAGGTGGCAGCTAACACCATAAATTGTGTTAAAAATGTAAAAAAAGTGGGAAGAAATTATTTTTGTCTTCCCCATAATGTTGTAGAAATGGTTCACATGATGTTACTTCCTGAATATTGATTTTATAGAATGGTCCATTTTTTAATAGGAGAATGCAGACATAATATAAGAAATACAAAGCATATGGCATTTAAATAAATATATTTTTTAAATGTATAATCTGATTCCTGACTTTAAAGAAAAAATAAAAATATGCCTGATGGCATTAACAACAAAATCTGGTCCTAATTGCAGATGTAAGCTTTAGTATCGGAGATATCCAAGCTTTGGGTTTCTGGGATACAGTTCCTCACACTCACCAGGTGGTGTCGCCAGAACTTGTAACAATCTGGTTGTCATCAACGAAGCGGCAGCAAGAGAGGTATCCTGAAGAGGGAAGGAAGTTTAATACATGATTCCAAACCAATATTTCTTCTCAAAATCTTAAGAAATGTATTATACTTAAAAACAAAATAATATCTGTGAATGAACAATATGTCATTGTGTGGAGGATGATTTACATTGCTGTATTACACTCATGACAATTTGAAGGGGAAAGATGCTTATATGTCATGAAAATAGATATCACAAAGCAAAAAAAAAAAGTACAACTTTAAAATTAATATTTAAATTTAAAATTAATATTTAATTAAGCTAAAATATCTTTTCCTATTTTTCTCTTGATTTAGTGGTGAAATATGATCTGGACATTTCTTCACCCATACAGCAACTGAACAGAATGAGAGTGCATTACGTAATCGCTGATGCTGTCATTAAAGTCGATCAGATGAGATATATTAAAGAGGGTGCAGAAAACACCAGTGCAGTTTCATGCTGTAATTACAGCTTAGCGAAACACCGACCCTTGTGTATATTCACAAGAGCCAAGATTACAGTGTGTGAGAGTTTCAGGAGGACACGTCCTGTACCTGTGTGTCCGGCCAGCTCACGGCTGACGCGCACGTTCCCCTCGCGAGTCTTGAGGCTGTAGATGGAGCAGATGTTGTCTAGACCTCCACAAGCAACGTAATTCCCTGAAGGAGCGTAGGCACAGGTCATCACCCAGGAGGAGCGCAGAGGAATGGCGTGGACCTGAAACACAACACACAAATGCTCAGGAAAAGACATATGGAAGAGCACAGGAAGTAATAAAAATCTGTAGCAGAAACCATTTTAAATAGCTGATCATCACAGGGTCTATATTACTTCCTGTTAGGGCAAAAAATGTCCATGCAAAGATCAGGAACTTGTTTGCTATTTTTTTTTTAGCATTTTAGCTTTCGGTCATGCCCATCCTGCAACATCTGCACAGCTAGTACCTAGGTTTAACAGTTGTTGTTTTTTTTATTTTCCCCAAGTAATAGTGATGCTTGGTCTGTGGCAATTAATTCGAGAAAATAAATAGGAATGCACTGAATAAGTAAATATTAAAATTTTTTAATGTGGTTGATAATTAAGATGCATTTATGGTCATTTTTTAAGATGTATAATAAAAAAAAAACTTTTTGTAAAAATACAAATGTTTACAAAACCAGTCTAATTAGAATTAGAAAATTTGTGGTTGATAAATTACGATGTATTATAAGAAGATCTTAAGAAGATATTTTTAAGGTGTATAATTAAAATATAATTTATACACAGTAAATAATTAGACACTACAGTCAAATGATCCGTTTATAACACCAGCCTATTTATAACAATTCAAGCCATTATAAAACAAAAAAAAACAATCAATATGGTTGCTAGTATCCACCCCAGAAAAGAGGTGCAACTTAGCTTAGTGAAATGCTCTATATAAAATCAAAATTCGAGAAATAAAAGAACAACAAGTACAAATATAATACCTTATTTGTGGTATAACTGTCCCAAATAATGAGTTTTCCATCCTGGGAGGCACTGACGAGCAGCCTGCACAGAAAACACAAGAGCACAGGTGAGCGAGTGCAGTTTACCTGCAAAACTACATTCAGGAGGATTGTCTCCCAGAACAATCTCAAACTATTCCCAGCACCATTCGGCACAAAAATGGTAGTTTTTAAATGGCTGTAGCTATAATAGTAACAACATGCTTAGTCATAACACCTACTTACAACCATCACTCACCACCTACACAAACACAATAAAAGACCATGATTCAATGCAATAGGGATAGCACGCAGTGGCCACCACTCGAGCCATGAACCCGTCCACCTCCACTGCGAAAGGGAAACCCCTCGGTGTCTCTCGCCCTGATGTACAAGGATGTTTTCAAAGGGCTAACAAATAAGGTCAGGCCATCATGCAAATCAGGTGACAGAGCTGTTCCGTACCTGGAATCGGTGCCCCAGTGCATGGCGTAGATTTTAGCCAAATGTCCTCGCAGTGTTCTTCTTGTGCGCATCTGGATTCGGCCAACAGGGTCGATGTTGGCTGTGATCTGAAAACATGTATGCAAATAAAAAAAAAACATCCACACACGTGGCATCGATATAGATATTACTCCATTGATTTAAATTACGGTTACTTCAATTTACACATTTAAACAGAAAATTTGAATTTCTTACCTGTGATAGTGTGGCATCTGCACAAGCTTTCCTTGCATCCTAGGAAAAAAGTAAAGGAGAAAAGTTTAGATGCGGTGGAACGAGGTATTATTTTATATACAAAACATTTAGGGTTAATGGTTAGTAAATAATAACCATAAAGTAACATGACAAACGCTGTGATATACAATTCCTTCTTTAAAAATTTTTAATATCATATTAGTAATCTAATTGGTAGCATTACTGACCTGTTAAGGTTAATTTACTCATTGATTTGATTGATTATGGCTAAAAGGTCAAAGATTTTAGACAAATGTGGATATTTTAGAACACAACAACAGAGGATTGGTAAAACTATCTCAGGTCGAGATCAAATGTAAAGCGGCTTAATGGAGGAAGTATCGGGTGTAAATTCTTTGAGGAATGAGAACAGAACAGTTACAGTAAATGTTTTTCCTGCATAGTGTAGAAGTATGTAAATAACTGCCCTCTGTATTTAAATGTCTTTTGGTTATGCAAATATTTCTGAGTAACAAGAGACTACCAAGTAATCAGGTTGTAAAAAACAAAAACAAACATGCACATACTTCATAAGACTTAATAGCTGGATTGGAAAAATGTCTAGCTTTAATAAAACTGATATTTTAAATATAGCAGACATGTCAAAATCTCTATAATTATGAATGTGAGCTTTGTTTTAGTCGAAATTTACCACAGCAACAACCAGAGGCTACACTGACTCCTTTCAACCTGGAGTCTAAATAGGATAGTTCACCCAATAATGAAAATTCTGTCATCATTTACACACTCAAGTTGTTCCAACCTGTACGAATTTCTTTCTTCTGCTGAACATAAAAGATGATACTTTGAAGAACGTGGGAAACCGAACAGTTGCTGGTCCCCATTGACTCCCATAGTATGAAAAAAATACTGTGCAAGTCAATGGAGACCAGCAACTGTTTGGTTACCAATTTTTTTTTTCAAAATATATTTTGTGTTCAGCAGAAGTCAGATGTACAGGTTTGAAACAACTAGAGGATAAGTAAATGACAATTTTGATTTTTGGGTGAACTATGCATTTAAGTTAATGCTCAACTTAAAATGCTGAATAATCAGCAGATATTTTTCAATTTTTGGTAGTAATAAGATTAATATTGACCAGGCCAATCCATTAGTCGATATTTGGCCATTTTGGAGTAGAATATTTAGTATGTCAAATTACTATTCATTTGATTTTAGCAATTTTAAGTTTCAATTACATTATACCAAACACATTTTAAAGATGAATATATACGTTGCGTGTCTTGTGTTACAGGTATGGATTAGGGATTAATAAATGCAGTTGTGTATGAGATCAGAGAGATCCTCACTCTGATCTGGTTCTTCAGCTGCTCGGCCTCCTGGCGTAACTGGTCCAGTTCACTCATTTTCCTCTTCTAAAGCTCTGCCTCACTCCTACTGCCGGGACACGTTCGGATCTACAGCAGAGAAAAAGAGAGAGTAAACATTTAGGCTCTGATTCCAATGTTATACCTTCAAAAGACATATTAACAGGAGGATATTTGGCCATCTTGAGACCAAGTTTAAATTTGAATGTGCATATTTCCTGTTTTGAAACAAGTAAACTGGTCTCAGCATCAGATATAGAAACAACCATATTGTTCCCACTAACATCGCACACTAGCTGCATCTACAAGAGGAATCATCTCTGCATGTAACATTTGTTAATGGATTGCTAGTAGATTGTTTATCAATACACAAGGGTGTAAATTCAAGATCCCATCCCACCGCATTAGCTACTGAAAGCAACCAAAGAACCATTTCCTCTTGTGGTGAAATGAGTTGTTGCTCCTTAATGAAAAATGCAGAAGTACAAAGAGAACAACAGCAAGAAACGAGCTGCTGTCCTTTTATTATGTCAATAATCGGCAATGGATAAAATACCTTATCCTAAACTGTAGCTCGAAAAAAAAAAAACGTAATTTGGCACATTATGGAAATAAAATGCCAAGAAAAACAGGATATTCAATGAGAACGTAGGGCAGAACTTGATTTTATCTATTGGGAATTGATTGGATGATGAAAACTGGGCGCTACATCCAAGAATGGGTTCATGTGGTTGGAGGGAGGGACTGAATAAAAAAAATAAAAAAAAAGAGCTCGATGACATCAGTTGAAAAGGAAAGCTGTTTCAAAGGCGGAGCAAGTTATTTAATTTAAATGAACGATTAAGCAGACAAACATTATGGGCACTGGGAATGTGAATTAGGAAAGTATATAGGGCAGGGCTCCAGACTCATTCTTCCCACTGGTTGCTCTTTTGGGACTAACTTTCTCAGTTGGTCGCACGAGCACATGATTTGGTCGCAATAGTTTTTATTTATTTAGCGCTACATCATGGGATTAATCAATGCATGCTGATGAACTTTTATCATAGTTTATAGTTATATGGAAACGAAAGTGATTAACATTCAGCCCATGCTTTTTCATCAGTAGTATTATTTGTGATTTGATTTTTGTGAAAGGGAGTTCCTCTTTTGCTGTGTTATAAGCCGAGCTTGAAATGCGACGACAATGTAAGTGTCATTGCATTTTAATGCTTTTGTTATCCTATCCAGTTGAACCCACTAGATGTGGCGCTGCTACGTTGTTAATTCAATATATAGCGGAAAACGAGAGCATCAGTGTGGTGAATATGTTGTTTACGGCAAAACTGAAACCAAGCCGTTTACACAGAACACATATTTATCACATTTTCTAGCAGGGCATCTATCAGCGTTGCACTCGCGTCTCGCACAAGAGAGCGGCATGTTTAGAAAGCCATGTAAAATTAATGTAAGTTTTAAAAAACCTGTCTCAAGACTTTATGGTGCTTTTCCCCCATCCCACTGTATCTCATGTTTTTAAATGAAGAAAGTAGCCTACTCTTTGTTATTGGTTTTCGGTCCTTTGTGTTAAACTATACATACATGCATGGTGCTGGGTTTTTTTGTAATTGTTTAAGCAACTTTATTAACTATATATAGTTTATAAACATTATTTTAAACATGCACTTTTTTCAAAGACAGTCATGTTATTTTATTACGCTTTGAAGAAACGTGCATAATATTTTGCTCGATGCGCCCTCTTGTGGCCTCAGGAGAGAAGCCAAAAGCTTTTTTTTCCCCTAACTGAAATTATGCCTTTTAAATTAGAATATAATTCGAAATTTTATAATATTTAAGTGGAAAATTCGAATTTAGTTTTTCAGTCATTTTGACAGCCCTACTACACACCTCACTTTTTAAGACTAAAACAAAAGATGGATTCATTGTTATTCTTAATTAAAAAGCACAACAACAATAAAACCGTAAGATACAATGACAAACTAGCTTACAAAATTATTATTAACAAAAACGAATAAGATGAGGCATGGCATACACCACATGCTGTATTATATACCGACTAATAAATTACAGTACGTTTAGCAAACACTGAGGAATCAAATCAAATAAAGTAAAAGAGCCTCCATAGGTAACGTGAGGTAAACAGCAAAGATAACAAGCTTTTCAAAATGAAAACAAAAAGAAAAGTAACACTAAACTTTTACTAACTAAAATGTTTTTTCCCCCACAAGAATACCAACATGTTCACCTTCTCTGGTTTAAGAAACGGTCTTTTACTTTACTTTAGCTTGAAAACCTTCCATCGTTTCCTCAATATTCGCATCATTTTTGCTGCGCGCACCTTCACG